AAGTTGAAGGACTTACCCTATCTAATGGCAAGTGACTGTGCTAAAGCTACGGTAATCAGGGCAGTGTGGTACTTGTCTAAGGATAGATGTACAGATGACTGAAACAGAATAGCAGATCCAGAAATAAACACAGACCAGTGTGGCCAATTGATTTTTGACAAACACACCAGGGTGATTCAATAGAGAAAGACTTGTCTTTTTAATAAATGATGCTGAAACAACTGGATATTGAAAAAAAATGAACCTCAACCTCCACCTCGTATCATATGTGTAAACTAACTCAGAATGGACCATAGGTTTAAATGTAAAAATTAAAACTATAAAGTTCTAGAAGAAGATAAAAGAGAAAATGTTTGTGATCTTAGCATAAGAAAAGGTCACTTAATATGCAAAAATCCCAAGACATAAAAGAAAAAAATCAATAAGACTTCTGTGATATTACAGATGTCTGCTCTTTGACTAACACTATTAAGAGAAAAAAAATGCAAGCAACAGACTAGAAGAATATGTTTGCAATACGTATATCTGACTAAAGACTACTGGGAAGTTTCTCAAAATGTTAAACATAGATCCATCCAATGACTCAAGAATCCTGTTTGTGGATATTTACCCAAGAGACAGAAAACATATGTCCACAAAAAACACTTGTATAAGAACGCTCACAGCATCCTTTATTCATAATCGCCCCAAACTGGAAACAGCCCAGGTGTCCATCAACAGGTCAATGCACAGACAAATGATGGAGCACTACTCAACAATAAAAAGGAACAAACTACTTACATACGTAATAACCTTGATGGATCTCAAAAACAGCATGGAGTGAAAGAAGCCAGATACAAAAGAATATATACCGACCATCCCATGTATATGATATACTATCACAGACACAACTACTCTGAGGTGATAGAAATCACACCAGTGCCTGCCTATGGTGGGTTGGGCTTGCCTGAAAAGCAGCATGGGGAACTTTTTCGGTTGATGGATTTGTCCTCTATCATGCTTGAGGTGTTGGTTACATCGATGTGTATATTTATCAAAACTCATCAAACTGTACAGCTAAAATCTATGCATATCAATGAATGTAAATTTTCTCACAATTAAAAAAATGTTATGGTATTTATATTATCTTAGATTCATTAAAGAGTGATAGACCACTTATTATTTAATGGCTTTATTGAGGTATAAGTGACATACAATAAACTACACATATTTAAATGTACAAGTTAATAAGCTTTGCCATATCACCACAATCAATGAATATATAAATTATATATAATTATAATGAATGTATTCATCACCTCAAATGTTTCTTCATGTCCTTTATAATCTTTCCTTCCCATTCCTCCTTGCCCCTCCCCCATCCTTAAGAAACCACTGATTTGCTTTATATGCCTATATAGATTAGTTTGTATTTTTAAGAATTTTATATAAATGTAATCATACATGATTCTTTTTTATCTGGCTTCTTTTCACTCAGCAAAATTATTTTCAGATTCACTCATGCTGTTGGATGTGTCAGTGGTTCATTCTTTTTATTACTGCCTGGTGTTCCATTGTTTCAATATCCCACAGTGTGTTTATTCTTTCCCCTGTGGATTGATACTTGTTTGCAGTTTGGATACATTACAAATAAAGTTGGCATGAACATTCATGCACAAGTCTCTACGTGGACTTTCACCTTCATTTCCCTTGGGTCAGTTCCTAGGAGTGGAGTGGGTAGATCACATGTCAGATATATATCTAACTTTCTTTTCTAATATATGCTTTCTAAGCACTGCTTTAGCTGAATCTCATAAAATTTGATGTTATATTTCCATGTCATTAAAAATATTTTAAAAAGTTCTTTTGAAACTTCTTCATTGACCTATGTTATTTATAAATGTGTTGTTTAACATCCAAATTTTTGGATTTTCTAGCTATCTTTCTGTTACTAATTTCTAATTTAATGCCATTGTGGTCTGAGAGTATACTTTGTATGATTTCTATTCTTTTAGATTTGTTAAGCTTGCTTTATGGTCCATAATGTGGTCTATCTTAAAGAATGTGCTGTGGCACTTGAGAAGAATATGGACGCTGGTGTTTGGGGATGGAATGTTCTGGAAATGACAATTAGGTCAAGTTGGTTGATAATGATGTTCAAGTCATCTGTATCCTTACTGATTTGCTGCCTACACTTGTTCTATCAGTTATTGTGAGGGGAGTGTTGAAATCTCCAACTGTAGTTTTGGATTTGTTATTTCTCCTTTCAGATCTATAGTTTTTTGTTTCATGTATTTTGAAGTTGTTAGGTACATACACATTTTGCATTGTTATGACTTCTTGAGAATTGACTGCTGATTTTTCCAATTTTCACAGGCAGAAATCTGGGGGACTATATGTGAGAATGGGTACTAAGAGTGTAGGATAATGATGAAAGGAATATAAAGTCAGGTCACACCAAATGTATTGATATGGGTCCACTAAACAGAGATTCTGGATTCAGTGTTGTAGCTCAAGGGATTAGAAATGGCTCTAATTGTTTGTTTTTTTGGTTGGCTGATAATGGACCAAAATGAGGCCTTCACTAAATGAGGTTGAAATGTCAGAACTGCGTTGGCGTACTATAGAGAAAGGTATCTAGAGGCTCAGGGACATTGGAATGTTAGAGTGGATTTACCGCGATGACCTGCTCACCCACTCAACAGGTCCAGATAACACTCCTTTCACTGCAATTATGAGAAATAAATTTGTGATAAGGAGCCCCGACATCCTTGAAGAGCTCCGTGGTCACTCTTCTCTGTAGGTCAGAAATTACAGTGGGAACTGCTGCCACTGTGCTGGGTTCCTTAAATACAGTAAGGATAATTGGATCCTGGGGTGACAGAGGCTAAGTGGCAGCGCTTAATCACCAAAGAAAAGGTTGGCATGGTTACCATGTAGATAAAGCAGTAATTAAAATAATCTGACACGCAGAGACCCGTGGCATTGGCTAGTTGATCCCGATGTCCCTAGAGGAGAAACAGGTAGGTGTTGTATTAGTTTGCTAGGGCTGCCATAACAAAATACCACAAACTGGGCGGCTTAGACAACAGAAATTTACTTTCTCATGGTTTTGGAGGCAGGAAGTGTGAGATCAAGGTGCCAGCAGGGTCGATTTCCTCTGCACCCTCTCTTCTTGGCTTGCGGATGGCCACCCTCTTGCTGCCTCTTTGCAGAGTCTTTTCTCCGTGCTTGTGCATCCCTTGTGTCTCTCAGCGTGTCTAAATTCCCTCTTCTTATAAGGATACCAGTCGTGTTGGATTAAGACCCACACTAACTGCCTTATTTTAACTTAATTGCCTCTTTAAAGCCTGTGTCTCCAAACACCTTCTGTGGTACTAGAAGTTAGGGCTTCAATGTATGAATTTTGGGGAGACACAAGTCAGTCCATAACAGACAGTCTCCTCCTCAGTTCTTACTTCATCTGTATTAGCAGAAGAGTTCTAGGTCAAGTGAACAGAGGTCTAACTTGAAACACCAAAACAAAGTCATAGCCCCTCAAGACTTGAGCCAGTTTGTAGACCCAGAACTCCTTGAATTAAGGGGAGAGCAGATTCCCTTTAAGAAGGTATCCCACTACACTGCCAAAAATATGTACTGTTAATATTTCTCCCAGCCTTACCCAAAGGGACCTATAGCCTGGGGTGACTGTGCATTGAGGAAAAGGAAATAATCAGAAATTTCAGTGTCTATTGGACACTGGCTCTGAACTGACACTAACTCCAAGAGACCTGAACCGTCACTGTGTTCCTCTAGTCAGAGAAGCACTTAATATTAAGAAGTCAGGTGATCAATGGAGTTTTAGCTCAGGTCCATCTCAGAGTGGGTCCAGTGGGTCACCCAACCAAGCCTGTGGTTCTTTCCCCCATTCCAGAATGTATACTTGGAATAAAAATATTTGCCAATTGACAGAATCCCTACATTTGATCCTTGACCTGTGGAGTGAGGGCTATTATGGTAGTAAGCGGCTAAGTGGAAGCCACTAGAGCTGCCTCTGCCTACGAAAAAGGTAAACCAAAGCAATACCCGATTTCTGGAGGGATTTCAGAGATCAACACTGCCATCAAGGACTTGAAAGATGCAGGAGTGTTGATTCCCACCACATCCGCCACTCAGCTCGCCCATTTGGCTTGCATAGAAAATACGTAGATCTTGGAGAGTGACAGTGGATTATCATAAACTTAACGAGGTGGTGGCTCCAATTGCAGCTGCTGTTTCAGATGGGCTTTTGTTGCCTGAGCAAATTAACACATCCCCTGGTATCTGGTGTGTAGCTATCGACATGGCAAATGTTTTCTTTTTCACTTCCTGTTGGTAAAACCACCAGAAGCCATTTGCTTTCGAATGACCAGGCCAGCAATAGACCTTCACTGTCCTGCTTCAGGGGTCTGTCAACTCTTCAGTTTTATGTCATAATTTAGTCTTCAGGGAACTTTCCCCTTCAACGAGATATCACATTGGTCCATTACATGGGTGACATTATGCTGATTGGACCTATGAACAAGAGATAGAATTATTGGCAAGACATTTGCATGTCAGAGGGTGAGAAATAAATCTGATGAAATTTCAGGGGGCTTCCAATCTCAGTAAAATTTCCAAGGGTCTAGTGGTGTGGGGTATGTCAAGATATACCTTCTAAGGTGAAGGATAAGTTGTTGCATCTGGTTCTTCTTACGATCAGAAAAGAGGCACAATGCCTAGTTGACCTCCTTGCATTTTGGAGGGAGCATAGTCCTCATTTGGATGTGCTACTCTGGCCCATTTACTAAGTGACTTGAAAAGTTTGAGTGGGGCCCAGAACAACAGAGGATTCTCCAACAGGTCCAGGAGGCTGTTCAAGGTGCCCTGTCACTTGGGCCATATGACCCAGCAGATCCCATGGTGCTTGAAGTGTCTGTGGTAGACAGAGATGCTGTTTAGAGACTTTGGCAGAACCCTGTAGGTATAGCAGAAAATAATCTTTTTATTTAACTTAATTTTAGAACCAGAACCTGAAGAGCCTAAAGAATTTTTACAAGGTAAAAAAGTTGAAGAGGTAGAGGAAGAGGTTAAGAAGGAAGAGGAAGAAGAAATAGAAATAAGTGCAGAACAGTCAACAATACCAGCCAATTTGGAACGACTTTGGTCCTTCTCCTGTGACTTAACCAAAGGCCTTAATGTGAGCAGCCTTGCCTGGAATAAAATAAATTCGGTGAGTTATCAAGAATTTCAACAATTCCATCTCTAGCACTTAAGGGCAATTGTCGATTATTAATGAAGATTTTTTTTTCTCAGATATTAGGCAAGGGATTTAAATGGACATAACCCCTAGTTTTAAAATGCCTCTAAAACAAGTTCATGTTTCCAAAAGGAGGAAATGCAAATAGTTACAAAATAATGTTTTTCTCCTTTCATATAAAAACATCACCATTTTTGTTTTGGGAGATGTCATTGGGACATGGCATTCTCTGAATCCGTATGGGAGATTGAGAAGTGAACTAGAAGATAATATGTAGTTGATTTACTTTAACGTATACCAAACTCATCTACCCAAATTTGTAGTCGTCTCCTTAAAGTAGTCATATTTGGAAATATATACGTAATCCAATGAGCCTGCACATGTGCAAAATAATTTTGAGGTTCCTTAAAATACTGTTAGTACTAATAATAGCAAATACTTAAATAGGACTTGCTATGTACCAGGCACTATTGTGAGCATCTTACCTGTATTAACACAACAATTCCATGAGTTAGACACTATTTTCCCCTTCATGTTGATAAGGAAACTGAAGCACAGGAAGGATAAATAATTTGCCCAAAGTTACACAACTAGTAAGTGAAACAGCCAGAACGCAAACCCAGACAACTTGGTTAACTACTGCACTGCCAGAAATCATCTTAAGACAAATTAGGTGAATCATCAAGCTGAGTGATGGTATGTTTTCTTATTAAAAAGAGATAATTATAGAGTAGTGAGACTTATTTTCTCTTGGGGTTTATGAATTGGTTCTTAAGACATGATTCTCAACTGGTAATCCCAAAAAACTTTTGTGTAATGACAGTATCTTTGGAACAAATATTTAGTGTATTTTTAAAGTGGTCAAAACTAATTTGTTTGTTTAAACTGTATTTTGTTATGTATGTTTAAGAATTAGCCTTATTATCTTATTGCCACACCCTATAGGGTCCTTTGTACAAACACGACAGTTGTTAACAGTTATTAAAAAGCATAAAGTCTATAATCATTTTTGTTGAAACCTAAACACACATTATTTAAATTACATATATTATTTTTTAATCAAATAAAATACTTTTAGCATGGATTTGTCTTTATAAAACTATATTTGGGAACATCTTGTAGATAAAGCAAGATTTAATAAATCAATAATAACTGTGTAATGATGACAGGTGAATCATTTTTAGAAACTGAATATACTAAAATTTTAAAAATTAATATATTGCTATCAAGATTTAAATTAAATAATTTTGAGTGAAGCTAAAGAAACGACAGATGGCATCTATCATATTTATTAGTTCGTTCTACAAATATTTATTGAACATTCACTCTGTGCTGTGGACTCTGTCAAGGCACTAGAGGTACGGCAGTAAGTTAGTCGTACATAGACCCTGCGCATACACTTTCCTACGTGCTTGTGTAAGGAAAGTAAACAGTGCTGTGGGAGCACATAAGAGATGCTTCTTAGAGGAAGTGGTGCCTAGGCCGAGTCTAGACAAGATGAATAGGAGTTGTCAATATCAGAGTAAAAATGGCAGTGGTAAAGAGTGTTTTAAGGCAGAGAGAATTGTGGAGAGATGATGTTGGCTTAAAAGTAGGGTGGTGGCAAGAAAATATAATTATATATATATATATATATATATTTCTTTTTGGTGAGGAAGATTGGCCCTGTGCTAACATCTCTTGCCAATCTTCCTCTTTTTGCTTAAGGAAGATTGTTGCTGAGCTAACATCTGTGGCAATCTTCCTCTATTTTGTATGTGGGATGCTGCCACAGCGTGACTTGATGAGTGTTCCATAGGTGAGTACTCGGGATTCGAACCGGTGCCACCGAAGCAGAGCGCATGAACTTAACTACTATGCCACTGGGCTAGCCCCAATAATATATTTTTGATAAAGGTCTTCTGATTACAAAGAAGAGGTTGGGTTTGGTCAATCATTAAATTTTTGTTGATATGTATTTATGTAAGCACTTCTTGAATTGACCTGCTGTATTAATCAGCTCAGGCTGCCATAACAAAATACCATATACTGGGTGTCTTAAACAACAGAAGTTTATTTTCCCACAATTCCGGAGGCTGGGCAGTCCGGGATCGAGGGGCCAGCTGTTTGGGTTCCTGTGGAGGGCCCTCCTCCTGGCTTGCAGACGGCTGCCTTCTTGCTCTGTCCTCACATGGTGGAGACAGAGAGCTCTGGTGTCTCTTCCTCTTTTTGTAAGGCCACCAGTCCTATTGGCTTAGGACCCCACCCTTATGACCTCATTTAACCTGAATTACCTCTTAAAAGCTCTGTCTTCAAATATAATCTCATTGGGGATCAGGACTTCAATACATGAATTTTGGGGGAGGAGGTACAATTCAGTCCATGGCACTGTCTTTAACTTAAAGGTCATTCACTTTTCATTTGAAATGATTGGGTCCTTCTCCAAACCCCATAAGACACTATAATGTAGTAATACAATCTTGGAAGATGATCTCAATATGTAAAAGAACTTGTCAGCAATTGGTTCTTTTTAGGTACTTATTCTTCAGTCTGAAAACGTGATTATTATGATTTTGCTTAGGAAGATGAAGGTATAGAGTGAAAATAGATGACACACTGGTATTTTTTTCTCTCAATTGAAATGTCATTACTATTTTTAACATGGTTCTTTAAAATGCATCTTTATACATTTGCCAATATTTTTATGCCATCCTTTCTTATTTTCAATGTATTTTTGTGTTTTTCAGGACCTTTTGGTTGTTGGCTATGGGCACTTTGGATTTAAAGAGCAAAAAAGAGGATTGGCTTGCTGCTGGTCAATAAAGAATCCTACGGTAACCCAAATAAGAATAAGACTCATTTTTTAAATTAAATGTTAATATAATTCTCATAAAGTAGATGGTAGCATGTGATAATTTAACAAAGTCAAGAACATTTTATCAAGCAAGACTTTATTTTCTTTGCTTTAAATTCATAACAATTAAACTTTGTTCTTGTTGATATAGGATAAAGTAAATGCATTTACACATTCACGCAATAAATGTTTATTGAGCATCTACTATGTGCTGTTAGATCTGATGATCCAGAGCTGAACCATTATTGTTACCACTGCTAATTATAAAGAAGAATGAATTCGCAAATGAAAATCCTTTGAAAATTACGTTTCATTAAATACTGGCTTGTTTCTTAATATATGAATAACTCCTTATCACATTGTAAGATAGATTTCTACTATCCTCAAAAGATATAAAATAGGTTAATAGGTTAATATGACCATCTTACTGCCATGAGTTTTTCAAAGAGAAGGAGTAAGAATCAGTCATGTTTTTTGCTAAACAGCCCTAGTCAATCTGCTACTTTACAGCCTACGTTTAGTTTTAATTCACAACTGAAATGTGAAGTGGAAAACTGGAAAAGGATGAGAAGAGCATATAAAAATGATTAGAGTTTTTATAAATAGCCTCAGTCTATAGGAAGCTGGATTTCTAAGCATAAAAGAAAGGAATAAGCAATTTTAAACATGTGGAAGGATTGATGTAGGATCCATCATCCTATGTCATCCTTGTCTTCTTTTCCGCATAGGTTGTTAGAAACAAGAAAAGATTTAGGTTAGATGTTAAAACAAAACAAAGCAAAACAATAAAACTCTTGACAGAGTTGGAGAAAAGAGCAGCTCAGAGAGTTTCAGAGCTTCCATCCATTGTTTAAAATGACTAGATAATCCAAGGATCTGAAACAGACACTGGAAGGCAGGACTAAATGTTGGATAATTTATTTGGAGCCTATCGTTTGTTTCTTTAAGAAGGTAGACTTATGATGATCACACAAATCCTGTTGAAAGATTACCAAAATGTGATAATTACTGTAGAAGCCCCTGCTGTAGTTTTTAAAACTGTTGAGCTCTGAGGATCCGTCAAAGTAAAGGAAGTGACTAATCGAGGTTTTGTTCTCCTCTATACTGGAAGTTAGCGAGAGAGGCCTAACGGAATGTGGATGGACTCTTCTCACGTCCCTACCGCCAGCAGACTAGTCTTCAGCCACCGCCATACCCTTCCTTTCTGTGGTCTAGAAAGCCAAGTTTAACATGTAATTTAATTATGTTTTTGTTCAGTGGCCAGAACGTATTTATCAGAGTCCATATGGAGTCACTGCTGTGGATTTTTCAATTGGATCACCCAACCTTTTAGCAGTTGGCTATCACAATGGCACCATTGCAATTTATAACGTGCAGAGCAACAGCAACGTTCCAGTTCTGGATAGCAGGTGAGAACCCCAGAATCAGATCAAGATATAAGATGTACTTTTTTAGGGAGAAGTACAAATTTAGTCTAATGTTATTTAGCTTTGAATGAATTTTTATGTTGTTATTGAGTGTGATACCATTATTTTTCAAACATTTAATAATTCCTCATGTCATCTCTCCAGCTGAAATGCTCTGTCCTAATATCTCCTTCATCTCTGCATACCTCACCAACAAACTTCCTTTGTCTTCACAGTTTATGCTTATTCTTTTTTAAAAAAATTTTAAAATTTTTCCCCAGCTTTGTTGAGCTATAATCGATGAATAAAAATTGTATATATTAAGATTATACAATGTGATTGTTTACAGATGTACAATGTGATGATTTAATATATGTATACACTGTGAAATGATTACCACAATCAAATCAGTTAACACACCCATCACCTCACAGTTACATTTTTTTTTTGGTAGTGAGAATACTTAAGATCTACTTTCTTAGCAAATTTCAAGTATACAATACAGTAATTAGCTATAATCACCATGCTGTACATTAGATCTCGAGAACTTATTAGTCTTATAACTTAGAGTTTTTGCCCTTTATTTCCTACCTCCTCCAGGAAACCTTCCCATCCCTTTCTTTTGTGCATCCTACAACAACCTTTATCATAGCACTTATCATGCTGTATATAAATCGTTTGCATATTTATCTTCCTGAGGAAGCTGTAAGCTCCTTGAGGTCAAAAATTAAGTCTTACTTACCTTTGTATCTCAGTATATTACATCATATCAGACATGTAACAGGATTACAGTAAGTGTTTGATTAAGAATGAATAAATGAATGAGTCATACTGAGAAATAAAAAAGTTAAAGGTGAAAGATATTGAATATGTTAGATTTTTTTTGGTAATAGACAAGATACCACTGGAGAAAAATGAGGTGGTATATTTATATTAGTGTTTGAACAAACTTAGCTAGAACTGGAAATAGGCATTGAAGCAGGGGTTCTTAAGCTTAGCTTTGAAATTATTTGTATAGTTTTCAAGCGTGGGCTTTTGTGCTTGTTTCCAGGAAAAAGGTCCGTAACTTTTACCAAATAATCAAAGATATCTATGACTTTAGGAGATTCAGAACTATTGCTTTGGAGGTTTGCATAAAATAATCAAGGGAGTCAGTACCACGACAGAGCAACCGATTAGTCTGACAGGAAATGTCAGTAATCTGAGAGGGGGTTTAATTCTTCAAAAAAAATTAAATCTCAGCCATAGAGAGAATCAAGCCAGTGGGCAGTCCTGAAATATAGGAGGAAGGGTGAGTTAATTGTTTACTTGAACAAGGCTTAAACAACTTTTTCATTGAAGCTAAGGGGAAAAATCCTTATAGAGCTGAAGATACTTATACTCATTGTGTCTAAATAAACTAAATTTACACAACTTAACTAGGAAAAAGTAAGTGAACAGTGTAAGAGAAGTAGATTCTCGAAAGAAAGAAAACATTTGCTCTTGTATTCCTGTTATGACAGCTAATGGAATTAAAGGCAGGGGAATTTTCCTTTTGTAAGAAATGAGAAAAACAGCAGGGCCTATTAGGTGGCAAAGTGATTATTTTTTTCATGTTTTTCAAACTATTTAAAGAAAAGTCCAGTTTTGAACAATAAAAGCATCATTCTATAAGTAGGTCATGGTGCTCTAGGATACTGTCCTTGTCACTTATACTCCGTCTTTAAAAAAATTATCATAATGCTTTTATATTTAGTGCTTTTCCCTTATTTAGTGAATCCCCTCAGAAGCATTTGGGACCTGTATGGCAGCTACAGTGGATAGAGCAAGATCGAGGCACAACAGGTGACGATAAAAGAGAAATACTAGTTTCTATATCAGCGGATGGAAGAATCTCCAAATGGGTTATACGGAAAGGACTGGACTGTCATGGTAAAAAAAATCTATCTCTCTCTGTATATCAAATTATCTTCCTTTTGTTATGTGCTAAATTAAAAATTCCTAGTGAACTATGTGTAAGCGGAGACAAATTTTAGTTTGGCTAAATAAGAAAAAAAGCTGGGCTCAGTAGTTGTTTTTCTAAGCATCTAGTTCTGGTATTTGCTAATTTTAACCTAATCACATGCAAAAGATCCAGAAATCATAATCTTGTTTGCAGAAGGGGCACACATTATACTATAATACTTTTTCCTGTGGTAAATAAGATATGTAATTTTTCTTTAAATAAAGATTTGATGCGTTTGAAGCGAACTGCTGCCAGCAGCAACAAAAAAGGAGGGGAAAAAGAAAAGAAAGGTGAAGCTTTGATATCTCGACAGGCTCCTGGAATGTGCTTTGCTTTTCACCCCAAGGTAAATTATTTCAATCCGTTATTTACTATTGCATATAGCAACTTCCAATAATTGAAGTATTTTAAGATATAAAGCAGACAAAAGGTTAGCATGTTAATAAATATTGTGCCTTAAGTAACAAGAAAAAGAAGGACAGATACAGCTGCCAAACCAAGGTGGAATGGCACATTCCAGTGGTGTACCGTGGCTTTATCTGCTTTCTAGAGGAAAGGTCTGTATTTCTAAGGAACTGTGGAAAGATTCTCTTTACAGCTGTGTGCTTGACTTGAGTGCCCCTCCTTGCCCTTCCTGGGTGCTCTGCTGCTATGTCACCCTGACAGAAATCAGGTCTAGGATCCAGTCCCCTGTATTTCAGGGTGAGTGCTGACTCATGATTCTGGGATCAGGAAAGCCACTTAAGTTCATGCCTCTCAAGACCAGAATCAAATCAAGGCACGGTTAATGAAGTTCTACTTTTCCTAATTCTTTTCATCTGGAGGTTCTTTGGAAACAGAAAATTCAGCCACTGTGACAGACTTCTAAGAAAATATATCCTATATGTTTCCTGTTATACATAATATGTAATATGGTCATCTCTTTAGTGACACCGTCATCCACCTAATCACACAAGCCAGAACTTGAGCTCCTGCTCTGTTCTACCCTATCATCCAAATGATATTTAGGTCTTACCGTCCCACTCATTCCAGGCGGAGCTTACTCCTGCTAATGTAGTTCAGGCTGTTATTATGTTTCATTTTTACTGCTACAGTCATGTTCTAACTGCCTTCATTCTCAGATTCCTGTAATGCAATTTTCACCTTGACTCTGGAACAATGTTTCTTTCTTTCTTTTTTTCTTTTGAGGAAGATTAGCCCTGAGCTAAAATCTGCTGCCAAGCCTCCTCTTTTTGCTGAGGAAGACTGGCCCTGTGCTAACATCTGTGCCCATCTTCCTCTACTTTATATGTGGGATGCCTACCACAGCATGGCTTTGCCAGGTGGTGCCATGTCTGCACCCGGGATCTGAACTGGCGAACCCGGGGCCACCAAAGCAGAACGTGCACACTTAACTGCTGCGCCACCAGGCCAGCCCCAGGAACAGTGTTTCTTAATGTGGACAGGCAGGGTATGAGTATTTTCCCACCAGGGGATGTTTCACAAAGTCTTAAGATATATTTGATTGTTGCAGCTGTAGGAGGTGCAACATGTGAAGGAGTGCTGTTGGCATGTAGTGGGCAGAGGCCAGGGATGCTGCTAAACCTCCTACAATGCACAAGACAACCACCACCCTCCCTCTCCCCCTAGACAAAGAATTAGCTGGTCCAAAATATCAGTAGTGCTGGGTTGAGAAACCCTAGTCTGGTATCCTAGAAATGTGCTTGGTATAAGAAATTCAAGATAATGTAATCTCTAAGTAAAGAGTTTTCCTTCTTCCTCTCTAATCTGGTTACATTTTATTTCTTTTTCTTGACTAATTGTGCTGATTAGAACCTCCAGCACAATGAATAAAAGTGGTGAAAATAGACATCCCTATCTTGTTCCTGATCTTTTCCTGAGAAAGCATTCAGTCTTTTACTATTAAGTATGATGTAAGCTGAGGTTTTTTGTAGATGCAATTAATCAGGTTGAGGTGGTCTCATTACATTATTATTTGCTGAGAATTTTTATCAGGAATGGATGTTGGGTTTTTGTCAAATACTTTTTCTACATCTATTGAGATGATTATATAGTTTTTCTTTTTAAGTTTGTTAATGTGGTGAATTACATTGATTGATTTCTTAATGTTTGTTCCTGGAATAAACTCCACTTTATCGTGATTCACCCTTTTAATATACTGTTGGATTTGACATACGAAAATTTTGTTTAGAATTTTTGCATCTTTGTAAGGAGTATTGGTCTATAGGTTTCTTTTCTTGTAATGTCTTTGAGGTGTATGTAACACGTCTGGCCTCCTTGCCTGGAGGCAGGACTTTGAAGGGCTAGCTCACCTTCAGAGCTTCTTGCAGGATGGGCTGAGCCCTCTGTTGCAACTGCATCATAGTTCAGCTTAAATCTCTGTCCATTCTTGTTTCTCTCAAAGAGCTTGTTCCTGAGAGAACTCCCCAATAAACGTCTTGCTTGAAAATCTCAGAGTCTCAGAGTTTATATACTGAGGAACCCAACTTTAGACAGTGACCTTGAAGATCTCTAGAGAAAGGTAACCTGCTCATAAATGGTGTTGGGATCATCATTATCCATATAAAAAAATGAAATTAGATCCTTACTCTGTCATATACAAAAAAACTTTTAGAAGAATAGGTAGGAGAATATCTCCATGACCTCAAAGTAGGAAAAATTTCTTAAATAAAGCACAAAAAAATGCTAACTATATAAAAAAATTATAGTACCAGCTACATAAAATTCTGTTTACCAAAAGACACCAAAGAAAGTAAAAAGATAAGCCATACACTGGGAGAAAATATCTGCAACATATGTAATAGACAAAGCATATGTAATAGAGTATATAAATAACTTTACACAAATGAACATGTAAAGACAGATTACTAGTAAAATAGTCAAGAGGCATGAACAGAAGGGGAAACACAAAAGGCCAATAAAAATAAAAATGCGCTCAACCTTGTTAATATTCACATAAATGGGACTTAAAACCATTAGGTATAATTTTACCCCTAATAGAATGGAAAAATTTAAGGTTTCTGATGGAACCAACTGTTGAAGAGAATGTGAGTCAAAGGGATTTTTTTTTTTACTGCCGAATGCAAATTGTAATAGTGCTTCATGAAAAAAATCGTACTTCATGGTGTAATTTAAAACTGCATATACCCCATGATCTAGTAGTTGTGTTCTTAAGTTCTGGTATACACTAGAGCAGTGTGTCTCAAGTTTTAATGTACATGTAAATTAACTGGGAATCTTGTTCAAACGGAGATTCCAGTCCAGTAGGTCTGGGGTAGGGCCTGAGACTCCCAGCTCTAAGACTCTCCCGGGTGGTGCTGACTCTACAGAGCCAGGGCACAGAGCACTGACTTCAGACTTTTTGACTATCACTTCACCACGGGAAATACATTTAAAATCCCTATTTAGAACATACATTTAAAGTTAAAGATGTCTGAGACCCCGTCCAGTTCAATCTCTCATTCCAACCAAGAATCGTTTCTTCAGCACTATATACATAAATAGCTATGTTAACTCATCCGTCTTCTCTTTGTTCTGATGAAAGAACACTTACGTTTCCCTGCACTGCCAGTTGCATTGTCAGGTAGTTCTAAATGCTAGCAAGTTTCTTCCTCTTTTTAAGCCAATGTTTGTCCGTGTAATTTCTAGACAGGACACTAAGTTCTACCCTCTATTCCAGTAAAGAACAAATCTGTAATTTATTTGCACAGTAGCCCTTCAGGTAGTTTAATTACTGTCAAATCGTGATAGAAAGGAAAAGACCGCAGACAGCTATCTTCAAGATAATATTTCTAGTTTTGGTTCTTGAATTGATTTTAACAGATGTGGAATGCTCTAATCTATTTAGCACCTTTATTAATATATGCATTTTTTTTTTAAGATTGTCACCTGGGCTAACAACTGTTGCCAATCTTTTTTTTTTTTCTGCTTTATCTCCCCAAACCCCCCCTGTACACAGCTGTATATCTTAGTTGCAGGTCCTTCTAGTTGTGGGATGTGGGACGCCGCCTCAACGTGGCCTGACAAGCGGTGCCATGTCCGCGCCCAGGATCTGAACTCTGGGCCCCTGCAGCGGAGTGCGTGAACTTAACCACTCGGCCACGGAGCCAGCCCCTAATATATGTATTTTTATTTTTTGTGTTATAGGACACAAATATTTATTTGGCTGGCACTGAAGAAGGTCATATTCACAAATGTTCTTGTTCGTATAACGAACAATACCTGGATACCTACAGAGGACATAAGGTTAGTTTAATTATAGTAGGTATGGAAATCTTATCTTGTAATATTTCTGAAAAAGTAGTACCATCATGCAAAGTATTTTTAACATGTAATAAATTTACCACTTCAGAGTTAAAAATACTAAGTTGAATTAAGTGCTTTCTTGTGTATAAACCACCAGTAGTGTGTGGGCCATTTTATTTGGCTTCTTGTTATCCTTGATTTCTTCTTGCAAGTTACAGAAATCACAATTTTTATTTGTTTCTAAAAGAATTTGGTTACAATAACATGCTGACCCCAAAGTAAAGTTATCTCTGGCGTATACCTATTCTCGATATCTTTTATGATTGTTCCGTCTAAGTTTTCTTCATTTTCTCCTCATTTCTGTTTTTTTCTTAATACTCCTTATATTTTTTAAAGTAAATGAGTATAATATGTATAATATTTAGTGAGTATTGTAGCAACTATATTCTTATGTTCCTATATGGCATAATTTAGGGCAGATTCAATTTATGAACTTATTCTCGGCTAAAATAATACCCACACAATCATACGTGGTGCGTAAGTCTTCTAGAAATCTTAGCATTTTTATTCGTTAGTCAAGTTTATAAGATGTTAAGTACTATTTGCCTATGTATTTTAATTTATTTTTCCAATTCCAGGGTCCAGTGTATAGAATAGCATGGAACCCGTTTTGTCATGACGTGTTCTTAAGCTGCTCTGCAGACTGGGGTGTTGCTATATGGCAACAGGAGACTCTCAAGCCATTTTTGAGTTTTTATCCAACTACTTATGTTGTTTATGATGTTGCCTGGTCTCCGAAATCATCCTATATATTTGCAGCTGCAAACGAGAGCAGAGTGGAGATTTGGGACCTCTACATCAGCACGTAAGTGTTAATAATTTTCTTGGGGATATTTCTACTAGAAGCAGTTCCACTTGATAGTTTGGACATGGGTTAGAGAGAACTGTAGTTACTTTAAAAGAAGTATTAGTTTATACTGTGAGAGCCCTTTATTCATATGCCAGGATGCTATATTAATGTTAACTTATACCATATATGGTTTTAAAAATATTCGAATGAAAATAGGTTACCTCACTGGTCTCCTCAAACTTTCCCAAGCTGGTGTGGGATGTCGTGACTCCCTTGAATTCTCTCTCATTGCCTGGTCTGTAGAAGAGTGTGGAGGGGCAGCTAACTGTTCTTAACTAAAGATTTTCTACAATATGATAAGAAAAGGAACAAAATAATTACTTTTTACAGTATTTATTTATTCTCTTACCTCGTTTCAAGACATATTTCAAGGGGCACGCATTTAGTTAAAATTTTTGATTTAAGATATTACACCAAAGTTCTTAGAGTGTCATCCAGACCCACCTGTCCTTTTTAATATGGAAGTTTATACAATACTGAAGTAAAGTGTTTAATGATTCTACTTCTTCAACTGGAAAATATGGTAGATCTTTATGCTAGTTATTAGCAGAAGAAGTAGGGAAATACCTTCTTGTTTAAAATAAATGAGGTAAAATTTGATGGGTTTCTTCTTTTCTTTTTTAAAGATTGGCACCTCAGCTAACAACAGTTGTTGCCAATCTTCTTTTTTTCTTCTCCCCAAGCCCCCAGTATATAGTTGTGTATTCTAGTTGTGAGTGCCTCTGGTTGTGCTGTGTGGGACGCTGCCTCATCATGGCCTGACGAGCGGTGCCATGTCCACGCCAGGACCCGAACCAGCAAAACCCCGGGCCGCCGAAGCGGAGCTTAACCACTCAGCCACGGGGCCGGCCCCAGTGGATTTATTCTTAATGGCAAAATTTTTTCCTAGAATTTAATAATTTAGTAAGTTAAAATTTTGTCATGGCTTGTTCTAGAAAACAGTTTGAACCAAAAATTAAGGATTACGTCACAAAGCAATTTATTTTTGAGTATGAGATAACTAACATATGAAGAGGCTACTTAAATGATCCCACTTGTGATTTTAATTTTTCTGGTAAAACTGTGGGCTCTCAGGACATTTCTTCAGAAGAAGTATGCAAGTCACCGCGTCTGTTGTTTTTTAAGGGCATCGGTAGATTGCTTCGGATGACCATGAGCAGGAAAAGTTCTTGTTCAAAATAGTTTTTTACATTCTAGAGATTCATTTGGATCAAAACATCCTTCTGTTAAAAGACATTTATTACTTAGGAGTTGTACTAGTCAGAATTCTCCAGAGAAACAGAACCAATTAAGAGATAGAAAGAGATGTATTTTAAGGAATTTTCTCACGTGACTGTGGGGTCTGGCGAGTCCCAAGTCTGCAGGGCAGGCTGGCGAGCTCAGCTTTCCCTCAGGGTCCGTGTTGCAGTCTCAAGTCGGAAGGTGATCTGGAGGCCCTATTCTATTCCACTTCAGGGAACTCAGTCTTTTCTTTCAAGGCCTTCAACAAATTGGATGAGACCTACCCACATTACGGAGGGTAATCTGCTTTATTCAGATTCTACTGATTTAAGTGTTAATCACATCTTAAAAAAATACCTTTACAGCAACACATAGACTGGCGTTTGACCAGATAGCTGGGTACCATAGCCTGCGCAAGTTAATACACAGACTTAACCATCAGAGGAGTTGAAACTTAGGAGTTCATGCCTTAATTGTGAATTGCTTTAATTAATTGCTTTAATTTATCTAGTTGAGGTTAATTCATTGAAGAAATGAAAATTTTGATTGAATAAGGAGTGATAAGCACTTATTTTGATTTTGGAAACAAAGAAGGTTTGGGGGGTTTTTTGTTACATGAAATCACAAAAAATATCTCAGACTTTTCGTAGTCTGTATATAAAAAGAACATGTTAACAACAACTGAATTTACAAATAAAATATTTCGTTACAGTTTGGACCCTCTGATTGTGAATGTTGCTAATCCTGGAATCAAGTTCACAACTGTTCTATTTGCCAAACAAACAGATTGCCTTCTAGTGGGAGACAGTGATGGACAGGTTGCTGTGTATGAACTAAGAAATATGCCTACTGCTTTGGATTCTGGTCGGGTAAGACAACAGGCCAAATTTTATGTCGTTTCATGATTTTATTCAGTTGTAATTTTGTGTCATGCAAGGGATTTAGATTTCTTAACTACTTTAAGTGTGGTGCAGTAGAAAGAACATAAGTTCCCAGAGTTGCCACCTCCTGGGTATGGTACCTACTAATCTTATTTTCTTTGAGCTTCATATTTTTTTTTTTTGAGGAAGATTAGCCCTGAGCTAACATCTTCTGCCAGTCCTCCTCTTTTTGCTGAGGAAGACTGGCCCTGAGCTAACATCTGTGCCCATCTTCCTCTACTTTATACATGGGATGCCTACCACAGAATGGCTTGACAAGCCATGCATAGTTCCACACCTGGGATATGAACTGGCGAACCCCGGGCCACCAAAACGGAATGTGCGCACTTAACCACTGTGCCACTGGGCCGGCCATGAGCCTCACGTTCTTTATCTGTAAAATGAGAATAATAATGTTGTTGAGTATAATAATCATAAATGTTATATGGGAGAACTTAAAATTGTGCCTAGTATATGGAACTTAATAGCTGTTGAATATAGCTGAAGAAGTTTCCTGCAAATACTCAAAGACTTTTGTAGGAAATAATAATATTCTTAGATATTTTCCAATGTTCCTGAAATAGGCATTTGTTTCTGTTGGTTTAGCGTGATCCTATTCCCTTACTCTGATCTTCAAATATCAAAGCTCTGTCATAAAACTTTAACAAGAAAATCAGTATCATAGATGCTTCTTATTTTTGAGATAGCTTTTCAATTTTTTTCTGTTTCTTATGTTTAAATTGCTATTTTAAGGGTAATTTGGCAAATAACCCATGAAGAAATGCTCAACAGCCGTTTTAGGAACATGACACCCCCTCGTTTCTGCATTGCCCATAACCCTCTGTGGCCTTGCACAGCAGAAGGACTTTGGTCTTTAGACTGTGGAGGTTTAAGTGACATGATTTCTGAATCTCTGGCCCCTCCCTGAAGTGATCAAGGACCAGAATATTATTGTGATATGACATGGCAGAACACTGGCTCCAGCCCTGTCCTACCAACTCAGGGTTTGTTGTTAGGAGTAATGTCAGCCTGATGCCTGACATGAACAGGGGCCTGGGGCTCAAGCCTTGCACTGACAACTTTGTGATGTAGCTAGCTGTTGACAGGATTTACCACCGCTTTGGCATTTATTGTTTGTTGAGCACCAGCTCCTCTCCTGGCACAATGAGTGCTGGTTGCTGGGGTCTAACTCTTGCACTGAACGTAATTATAGTTTTAGCACTTGGCAGAAGCCAGTTTCAGTGGGGCATCGCGCAAAGCAACTCCCCTTCTGGCGGCAGCCTGTAGAGAATCACTGCTGGATGCTATTTCTACTCTTATGTTTCAGTATACAACTGTTTGCCATCCTTTTCTCTGTGCTTTAGGTGTTTACTTTTTTTTTTCAAATTAGAGGATAAATAAAAAGATAAGTGAAGTCTTCAAAATGGGGTTTTAGAAACATAAATCTGTAATACATGTAATAAATTAATGCTGAGAGACACTGAAAGCAGAAACAATAGACTATTCATTCATTCAACAAATATTTACTAGTATGCGCTATGTGACAGGATCTGTTTTAGGCCCTCAGAATACAACAGTGAACAAATACAGTAGTGATCTGTTACAATTGCCCTAGTAAGAGACTGCACTCTAGAGAGATGGGTTTGAGAAGCAAGGTGGCAACATGATTTGGTATATCAGGGCTTGAAGGATGGGGAAGTGCCAGAGAGGGTATCACAGAGGCTGAAAGACAGGAGCTGACTTCCACAATGTTACCCAAGGTGTTTCTCACTCTTCAGAGTTTATAACCCACTGTCACATACGTCAGCTCATTCAATTCTTCAAACAATCGTTAGAGGTGGATGTTACTCTTTCCATTAGACATTCAGGGAAACTAAGATTCCCAGATGTCAGTGATTTTTTCAATATCACCTTTACTGTGTGACAGAGAAAACTCCAGTCTTCTGCTTCCAATTTCCATCTTTTCACTGTATCTTTCTTGAAAACTCACCTCACATCTTTGGTTTCATCTTCTTACACATGATCATTTTACCCCTTTCATCTTGCGCTTCATTTAATAACGAGATACAAAATCCACACAGAAGGTCAGCCATTCTACTCTGTCTAAATCAAGTCCTAGATCAGGAAAGAGCTTAAGACAGCATTAAGATGAAGTTATTTTACAGATGAGAAAACTGAGCTTTAGGCATTAAGGCTAAACAGGAGCTGTCAACATTGTCCCTTTGCTGAATCCTTATAAAATTGTTTATGAAACTTCACTAAGAGACTCTTTCATAGGAAAGAGCAGGTTTATACTAGGAAGTAACTGTTGCTATTTAAACTCACCTTGGTTTGTTTCCTTTTTACAATCTTATTGGATGCCCTTTATATGTGTATCACTAACTTATAGCTTTTAGATGGAGTTTTAAAGACTACTGTCACTCTTAATTTGTATTTTATTGCATTGTAATTGTGTGGCTTTTTCTTTGCAGGGAGACATAATAGATACTTTGCTTGGACCCAAGTCACACCAACCAGGATAATTCATCATTACCCATATCTTTTGTTGTTGTTGTTTAAAGAAAAAGGAACAGTGTTTAACATTCATAGTCCAATTTGCAGTAAGCTGGGGTTTTTATTTTAGAAAACAATATTTGATATATAACTTCCATTTAAATTTAATATAAAGTTAATAAACTTTTACTTCAGAGATACGTGATTAGTCTGTGATCTAATCTAATTGTAAGAGCTGTGTTGGGATTTTCTTAGAATAGAGTAGGAATATCTTTTCCTACTCTGTTTCTTAAAAGTCATGTTCCAACAACATATAAGTACATATATATGTACTTACAAAATGTCCAAATAGGTTAGAAAATAATTATTCCTTTAGAAGCAAAGCTTTGAAATTATTAGATTTACTTAAGCCAAAATCATTATTAAAACAAACTTTCATAGGCTTTTAAATCTTCTGCCTTCCAAGCTCTGTTTTCTAGGGCTTATAAATCAAACAGGTGTTAGTATTACGAGAATGTGGGGTTCTCATACCCAACTTGGAATCAGAAGTTTATCCTCTGAGTTCTGAGAGCTGAAGCTGTGGACCTTTGTTAGACTATTCGATAAGCACAAGACATGACAGCAGTGTCAGAATCGCACTCTTTGACCAGCAGGGACCAGACCCCCAATTCAGTGAGAATTAGGTGGGGACACATCAGGCACCCTTCTCTGCGGCACAGAATCTGCTCTGGGTTTTAAGCCCAGACTTAAGGGGGCCCAAAGAGAAAACAGAAAGTCCCTGATCTATAGTTCGCCTCAGGATGTTATTTTATGGAGGGTTCTAGAGCCGGCTTGTGGAAATAGGAGGAGAGAGGGGCAGCAGCTCCGCCAGTTCAGTCTGTTCAGTGCTGTTTGTTTGAACAAATCCCGGACTTTGTTAACTGAGGCCAGAGCACAGTGTGCCCTGTTGTATAAAGCGTTCTAAGTGGAGAGGAGAGGATAAGGCATTTAAAACCCACTGAACTCTCTGAAAATAAAATACATATAGTGAAAACTGGGAATGGAATCAGTGTAACAGTGGGAACTTCCTTTACGAGTATCCATTTCTTCACAATCTCCATTTCTTTGGAACCATCCTTTAAACAAAGGCAAGGCAGTTTTTAGCTGGACTGAGAGCTTGGTCAGGTTATCAGGTTATACAGGATCATAAATTTCCTCCTGGTATGAGTCATTGTGATTCTTCTCCTTGTCTTTCTGAAAGGTTGGACTTTCTATAACACTGTGTAACAAAATAAAAGCTTGATTTAATTGAAAGAAAAGTGTCTTTTTATTATGTAATTTTGATCTTTAAAAAATTTTCACATATTCGACTCCCATTGTCCATCAAGCCTAAATGAGAAATACTACTGTTTCACTCTTCTTGGATCTTGAGCAACTGGTCCTGAAGCACTGAGCCTGTTCCATTCCCCACCCCCCACTCCGCATCTTGTAGACTCACCCAGACTTTAGATTAGCATCACACTTTTACTTTAGGATCTCTCACCTGGGAATTACAGAGGGAATTATTTTGCTGACTTTCTACACTGGCTTTGGGTTCTCACTAGTAATCTCTCTTTACTGTAAAATTAAAAAAATTTTTAAAGACTTTGTTTTTGTAGAGCAGTTTTAGGTTTATAACAAGATTGAAAGGGAAATATAGAGATTTCCCAGATACTCCTTGCCCCTACAAATGCATAGCCTCTCCATTATCAACATCGCTTGTTACAACTGATGAACCTACACTCACACATCATAATTGCCCAGAGTCCCTAGATCATGTTCGGGTTCATTCTCAGTGATGTACGTTCTACGTGTCTGGACAAATGTATAATGACGTGTATGCATCAGTATAGTACTATGCAGAGTGCCTTCACTGCCCTGAAAATCATCTGTGTTCTGCCTCTTCATTCCTCCCCTCCCCCATCCAATAACCATTGATCTTTTACTCTCAGTAGATTTGCCTTTTTCAAAATGTCATCATGCATCGGAATCATGCAGTATGTAGCCTTTTCAGATTGGCTTCTTCCACTTAGAAAATGAATTTAAGGTTCTTTTGTGTCTGTTCCTGGCTTTATAGCTCATTCCTTTTTATTGCTAAATAATATTCCATTGTCTGGATGGACCTATGTCCTGCTTCTAAATAGCATTGTTCAGGAAGTGGGAAGACCTAGGAGAGACCACAGTCAACCTCAAAAAGCCATTCTCCATGTAATGAGTGATGTGTGGAAGCAGAAAGAAGCACTGGAACTGAAAAAGCCAGGCAGCTGAGGAAGATAAATGACCCAGCAGGAAGAAAGTCTTTGATGATAGAAAGGCCTTGGCACACAGTAGATGCTGGATGCTGGTAAGATGCTAGAATTACATCCTGGGAAAGGGAAGAAACCAACTCTGAGAGAGACTGACGTTGACGTTTGTGTATGTTGTTTGTTTGTGCCACCTGGGTGGAATGAAGACTTGGAGTTAGAAACTGAGTTATAAAAAATATATTTCTGGGACACCTGAGTTTCTGAATTGAGATTCCTACCTGCTGTGCTAAATATTTGTGTGATCTTTCACTTAGTGTCTTCCTTCTCTCCTAGACTGTAGGCTCCTTGAGGGTAACACTATCTGTTTTGCTCACCACTGTATCTCCAACACCTAGAACAGTCCCTCCACAGAGGAGTTATTGCAACAAATATTTGTTGAATGAATGGATTATCAAATTAATGGAAGAAATGATGGTTTCATGCTTGCCCCATATTATAACATGATCTAATATTTTAAGTATGATTTCCTCACTATCCTAACAAAGCTTCACAGACGGTAAAATATTTTAACTGTGGAAAACACGTAGAACATAAAATCAGCACTGAAAGTTGCTCCACAGGTCACAGCTTTCTTTGTACTATAACAGCAAAAAATCAAGTTTCCTGCTCAAGATAAAAATCAAAAACAAACCCATGATCACTTTCTCGAGGTCAGTATTGCTGCTGCTTTGTGGGGGTGCGTTCCCACTGGCTGTTTAGGGGCCCAATGTACCTCCAACGTAAAGCACTTAGCAAGATGCACCAAGTAGGTGCTCAAAAATGTCAGTTCTCCTGATGGTCCCAGACCACATCCCCACTTCTTGGTCTGAGAACCCCTTTGTTCGTGCAACTGGCTGGTCCTTGCCAAGGCCCCCCGCCTGCAGGAGATACAGGCTGTGTTGATGACCTCGTTTGATCCTTCGTACATCTGGGCTTTGCGTCTTGTTTGTTCAGGATTTAGTATGATGTTCAAATCCACCCTCAGATGCATAGAACATTTACTAGGGTATCAGCCTTCATTTGCTGAGGTTGGCAGATTCAGTTGGTAATAAAACTAAAAGGCTAACAGTTTACATGAAACTAATTCCTGGGTTAAATAGAAAGCAGACATGTCCATTAAGTTGGAACACATAATAAAACATGGTTATCAATCTTATAAACACGAGCACTGCTTTTTCTAAATTAATGAGACACTTATGCAGCATCCAGAACAACTCATGAAAAATATACTATCGCCACGTCTGCATTTTCTTTGAATAAGTCAACTATTAAAAGATGTGGTGTCGTCATACAAGGAAGAACAAAGGATCCCAGGATATTTTCAGGAGCTTACATAATTTCTCACTGATAATAATTTTATTGAATTTTCTAAATTATTACACATATTTCAATCACTTATTGAGTTTTTATCAATTTCTAAAAGCCCAAAATGACAGCAAAAACATAATAACAAACTGGCTTCTCTGTCCATACAAAATAAAGCTTTAAATATCAATTATTGTTTTCTAAGATTATTTAAAAAATTTTTTAGCTGCTCGTTTTAATTCTTACTGACAGAGCATTTCAAAAATCAGTAAAATGAGTGGTAAGAAGGTTTTATCCATAAAATTAGGCAAAAAGTTATCTAGATGAGTGGTATTTCAACATTCAATATTGAAATATCAAATATTCTACACATATTTGCAGAGCAGAATTTAACCAGTTTTAAAGAGAGGAGGAAAAGGAGTTTCAGGTGAACAAAACAGCACTGCAGAGAGAGAACATGGACTTCCAAAAAACTGAGGTGTTTGATGTCGCTGGACCATTTAGAGTTTGAGGGTAACTAAAACCTGTTCAAGTAGATGGAGGCCAGATCATGAAAGGTCTTGTAGGTCATTTTAAGGGAATTTGGACTTTTTCTTGAAGAAAATGGGAAACCATTGAAGAGTTTCAAGGTGGATAATAAAATAAGCACATCTTTTAGAAAGATCATCCTGGCAGCACTGTGGAAAATGAATTGATGAGAGATAGAGGGCCAATTGAGAAGCCACTGCAGTAATGTAAATAAAAGTTGAGATCTTGCAGAGGAGATGGAGTGAGTGGATCACAGAGAAATTTAGAAGGTAGAAGAGAGGAGACTTAGTGCTTTAATGGATGTGTGTATGTGGGGGAGGTTTTAGTCAATGAGGAGTGAGGGAGAATGAGGAGTTATGAATGATTCCCAGGAATAGCTGGATGAATAGTGGTGCTGTATGATGAAAACACTCTCTAGAATCAGTAAGTATGAATATTAGCCAAGGATGAGCAGTACCAACTCTATGTTAGAAAATAACAAAAATAAATTAGTATTTGCTAACAAACTTATATAGTGATCTCATCATCATCATTATCACAAAATAACTATATGTGGTATGCTTTATAATTTATCAGTGTTGTAATTAACATTACCTCATTTGATCTCCTGATATTTTTCCATGTTACAAATTAGAAAATCGGATTACAGGTTAAATTACTTTCTCAAGCTCTCTTAGCTAGAAACTAGAGTGGCAATACTGAAACTTAACATTCTAACATGAAGGCCACTTGGCGCAGTGTAATATTTGGTAGAATTAGAATCATTATTATTACCATCAATGATCAATCTGCTGAAAGTTCCTTTTGTGCTGGAGACTCTGATCAGCACTCTGTATAACTTAATCCTGACAACTACCCAATGAAGTCAATATTATTATCTCCATTTTACAACTGAAGAAACTAAGATTCAGAAACGTTAAGTATTTCCTAAGGTCACATAGACATTAAATGGCAGAACTGAGATCTGGTTTCCCAAGTCTGACGCTACAGACATTACTTACAACTCTTATACCAACCTGCCCAAACACCATCATTAGGCGTTCTTGTGGCCATAGTTCCTTGATAAGCAGAATATAAATGAGAGATATGTTTACTGAATCCATTGTCTAGTTGTTAATTTGGAATTTGGGTTCATGTTAATTGTAGGCTTTCATGTAATCAATCATATTGAGCATGTAGTAGTTAATTTCAATCATTAAGGCTAAATAACAGATCTTTGCTTTGATCTAAAATCTTGGATCAAACAAACATTCTCTACATCTGTAAGATATAAATAACTTTAAGATAATTATACTAGTCAGGATAAGTCAGGTTGTGTTGCTACAGCCAATAATTGCCAAATCTCAGTGGCTTTACATGATAAGGATTTATTTCTCATTCACATTACATGTTCATTACAGGTCAGCAGGCAGCCCTACTCCATATTGTTCTGACTCAGAGACCTGGTTCCATTGTCAGGAAGGTTGTTGGTGACCAGGGCAAGGGAGAAGTGGGGGATCATGCACCAATCTTTAAATGCCAAGTAGAAGCAACAGGTGTCACTTTCATTCACATTTTATTTGCCAAAATATGTCACATGGCCATGTCCAACTTTAAAGAGCTGAGAAGTATAACTCTACCATGAGCCTGGAAGGAGGAGAGCTAGAAATATGTCTACTGTAGAATTCATGACTATCCCAGATATTAATCAATTTCATGTGAAAGAGTTTCCAGGGTAAATAAATTTGGGAAACATTGAATGAAACAAAGTTAAAGAAGTTTCCTGACTATAAGTCTTGTGAGCCTTTACTATATTAATATGCATTATTAATCTCCAAGAAAGGGACTATTACTATGGGATACGTTTTTCCAAAGACCGTCTTCAAAGACTCATATCCCGAGAAAACACTTTAAGAAACAGTCGTCTAAGGTGCTGGCTTTTCAGAACTTATTTGTAGAAAGAGTAAAGGAAGGAAAGAAAAAGACTAGAGCAGCGCAAATTTATGGGTAGTCTGGAGATTGAGAGTTATACATTAAAAGCCATCTCTAGCAGCTGGTTGCTACCAAAGATTACATCTTTCAATGTCTTGCATATGACATTGTTAATTTATTATTTATTAGGCATCATATATTATGCTAGGTGCTTTACTTATGTTAACTCATTCCATCTTCACAAAAATATAAAATGCACATTATCTCCTCATAGGTGAGGAAACCAAAACTCAGAGAAGACAATTACGAGTTCAAAGCCACACAGATAGTAAACTGAGTTGCAGACTAGATGAGGAGCAAAAGTCACGTCAACCTCCAGACAGAAAGGATCAAGTGCTCCCGTTAGAGCTACAAACAACAAACTCTTGTTGGTCAAAAGATGGAGAGATTCCTTTTCGTTTTGGTTATCCTCTCTGGCTGGACCTTGAGGATATTTGGGAGCCTGGGTGGACAGTCTTAAATGTGAAGCTGTTCAGATTTTATTCTCCATGTAATACTGAGCCACTGAAAGTTTTAGAGGTGGGAGTAACAGAATCAGACAATTATAGCAAGACTTAGAATTTTACTTCAAAGGAGCCCGGAATTAATTCAGTCCACCTCTCTCAATTCACAAATAGGGGAAATAGGGCCCCCCAATTGGAGGTCTACAGTGAGAGCTTTCAGTGTTGACATTAGCTTTCTCATCTGGGTAGCTGACCTGGATGATTAGCTTGTCTCCTTTTGGTCACAGGCTGAGCTCAGGTCTTGCTGGCCTCTCACCTGCATCCTAAACTAACACGAGCCCTGATGAAGTCCTAAGTCCCAAGCCTCCTACTTTTTGAATACTCATTTGCCCCAATTCTCTACTTTGACCTTAGTTTAGGCCACCGTCACGTCTCATCTAAATTATTGCCAAAGCCTTTCTCTGTTTCTCCAGCCTCAAATCTTGTCCCCCTTAATCCATTCTCCACACTGCAGCCAGAGGAATGGAGAAAGTAACAATTCTTTGAGGTAATAGGTCTATTTTTCAGAGTCATAAACGGTTTCAGTCAGTGCATAGATTATCATGTTCTGGTTCCCAGCTTCCCTACAGAACAGCGATGTCACAAGAAATATGGGTGATATGATCTTGATTACAGGGCTAAAGTGATATTTTTTCAACCAGAGATTACAGACAAAGAATCAACAGAATCAACTAAATAATTATTTGTTCAATTGCTAAAAAGTGAGTCAAACTCCCACATTCTCGGTTTAGGTAAGAGCTATGCAAGAACTGGTGCTTTCAGAAGGTTTAGCAGAAGAGCAATTATATTCTTTAGCTCTTCGGGGGTTATGGATTCAATTTTCTATTAGAAAAATGTGCATTGATAAAGACATACATAAGTCATAGGGTGAAGGATAACAAGGAAGATTCTAGTCAGAGGAATTCTCTTGACTTCTACAGGAAAGTTCTCTTTTCTGATTTATCACAATGGTGAGGGAAGGAGGCAATTAACAGTTATTGACTCTTTATTTTGCCAGGCAGGAAACACATTATCTCATTAGCTCTATGATGTAGTTACTATCATCAGTATCATTTTACAAAGAAAGATTCTTGGGGAGGTTAATACCTTGATTAAGATTCTAGATCTGGTAAGTGAGAAACCAAGATTCAAATCCAAAAGATGAGATCCTGAATTCTTAAGTGTGATTTCTCAGTGCTTTGACATAGATGGTGCTTTCAACACTCACAAAACCCTAATGAGATAGGCTTTCTCATTCTAGAGATATGGTTATTGAGACTGAAAGAGTTTAAAACTTGCCCTGCGTCTCCCAGTAAGTGGCAAGGCTGACATTGAAACTCATACTTGGCTACTTCCAAAGTCAATGTGTTTTCCTGATATTTTCCAAGACAGCGTTCTGTTTGTTGTCTCATGGACGCAGCTAATGGTAAGAGATGGTGTCCAGAAGGGACTCAATAACTAGCAATCATCATAAAAGCTCACTAGCAAAACTTCACGGTGTAACCTATGTGCTTAGCAAATATTGTTAAAACGAGGCTCTGACCAATAAAATGTCAGGAAAGTTAGTATAAATTGGACAAGAGTGTGAGGGTAACTTCAAAACTTGACTTGGCAATCTTCACTGCATCAGAGTTTCACTCAGTCCTCCACAAAATGAAGGGTGCCATTTTCACCTTATTTCTATTCTCTGTCCTGCTCGCTGTCTCAGAAGTGAGGAGTGAAGAGTCCAGGAAGCTCTGCGGGCTGGAGTACGTAAGAACGGTCATCTACATCTGTGCCAGCGCCAGGTGGAGAAGGCAGCTGGCGGGGACCCCTCAAGTTCAGCAAGGTAGCATTAACTCACGTGACGCCTTCATCTGTTTTATTGTAGGCTTGTTTTAGTGACCGTTTTTCTAATTACTGCGAACCCTCTTCTATATCAATTTAGGGGGTTAATTATCAAAATTAACTGAATTTGGTTTTGGAAAGAGGTGAGCTTGCTACCTTTCAAAAAATAAGGACCTAGTTTTCTTTAGTCTCCAGCTTGAAATCATTTGACTGCATCATGACTTTGATGAGCTCAGCATCTGTGGCCGGTGCTCTTGGGGACAGAGAGAAGCACGGGATTCTAAGGGGCATGTTGGGGTAGCAAGATTTTCACATGTGGATAATTACAGAATACAGTAAGTTAGAATTCAGGCAGGTGCTAAATAAGGATGAAAGGAAGGAATCTAACTTTTACTAAGCGCTTACTAAGCGTCAGGCAGTTTCATGTGTAACATTGCATCCAGCCTTCCAAAAAGGATCCTGCGGAGTAGGTAATATGACTGCCATTTATCATTTTATCAAGGACAAAAGTGCTCACCCAGCTACTAAGCAGTATGGCTAGCAATCAAACCAGGTCTTTCCGGCTTCAAGAGCCAAAGTCTTTTGCTTATTCTATACTGCATGTCAGGTGGGGAAAAGACAATGGTGAATGTTGTAAGAAATGACAGCCTTGTAGAGGTGGTGGTATTTGACAGAGACCCTAAAGGAAGCATAGGATTTGAGGGGTTATGGGCAGTGGGATGAAGACGGTGGGAATTCTAGCAGTAGGAATTGTCTGATGGGAATTTTGGAGGTGAGAATGAACCTAATGTGTTTCAGAAATAGTGAGGGAACTGACTTCACTGCATTCTTCATTTTTCAATTCAACTAATTCAGAAGTTTGACTGGAATTCTTTCCACCAATCCTATCTTAAAGTGTAAGGTAGGATTTATTTAAGATTCTATTTTAATAACTGATTGTGTTTGTTATGTTTTATAATAAAAAGGTGAAAAAGAAAAACGTGATTGTAAAGGTTTCAATTTGTTTTAAAATGACTTTGGGAAACAAAAAGAATTTGGAAAATGACCCACAGTTTTCATATGTTGCTGGGCTAATGTCTCGAAAAATTACAAACTTACCACTCCCACTTTAATATTGAGAAGTTCATAGTTCATGGTTACTAGATGTTAACAGAAATAATAAGGGGTTTCAATCTTAAGAGAGTAAGCATACTTCACCAGACTTCCCACAATTTATCAATCTCTGGATGAGCAAACCAAATACACTAGAAAAAAAATACATTCAGAGTGTGGGGCAGTGGAATGGATGTCAGTATAAGGCTAATGTTTTTTTGACATCACTAGCATCATAATAGTGTTTAACCCTTCACGGGTTTTCAGAGTATTTTCCCATACATTATTTAGTTGATCAGTAACTAGTTTAGCAATCAGCCTTCACTCATCTAAGTTTTCCTGGTACTGCCAGTGAGCTCAGGAGCTGATAAGTGAGTCTGAACGGAGTTCAAGTGAGAGAGACTTCTGGGCGCACTTTGGGAACCACACTGGTGAAAACAGTGGGGCCCACTCTTCGCTTTCAGACAAAGAGGTTTAGACCTCACTTCCCTCCTTACCGAACAGCTTTGCAGGGCACAGCACAGGGTTGATTTTTGTTTGTGTGTTTTTGTTTATGGCATGTAACTAATCCCTTTGGAAGCTGCTGGTCATCAGCAGAGGTAGCCAGCAGGACAGAAGTCAAGCCCTGACTCTGCTACTCACTAGCTGGTTAGTCTTCCTCTCTGCACTCAAGCTGCCTCCTCCGTGAAACGAGGAGCGTGGGGATGACTGAGTTCTCCCCTAAATGTCTGATCTCCCCTCCAGACCGACATTTAAAAAAGAATCACGTGTAGTGTTGAATTTCCTTTCAGAAATCCAGTGCATTTCCCCAAAAACAGAACTTGTTTGCCGCTTTCGTCAGGGCCCTCTAAGGATTGTTTTCTCTCTTCCATACAGCTGAGTGGGACAACTACTTCCAGCTGCCAAGTGACCGTGGGGTCTCTGAGGACAGCCCTGCGCAAAACCTTCCCAAGGCGGAGTCCTCCGGGAAGGAAGGTCTTCAGGGTGGACAGCCGTCCGCCGAGGAGCTTTGGGCGTCCAAGAAGCATTTGCTGATGTCAAGACGAGACCTGCAGACGGTGTGCTGCACCAATGGCTGTTCCATGACTGACTTGAGCGCTCTCTGTTAGGGCGAGCAAGGCCCCCGCGGGCGCGCCAGAGCTGGGGCGCGTGTTTGCGCAGAGTCCTTACTCCACGTACCACACTGGCATCGTGTCGATAAAATAATGGCTTTTGGGTAGGCAAGCGTTCTTTACTCAAAGTTGTGCATGAATGGCTAAAACCACAATGAGGTCTGTTTTCTCCCTTTGCCAAGGTGAATGCCCTGTGCTTTTCCAGTTTTAACTAATTCTTTGAAATTTCGAATGCTGCGCAAAATTGCAATAAAAATGCCATAAGCCAAGCTCCCTGTGATTTTTCCCTTTTTAAAAAGTTTTAAATAGCTTTAAAACAGTAAACAGAAAATGTCAATGGTAGGAAAACCTGAAAAAATGAGCATAAAGAGAAAATAAAAATCAACCACTACGTCATCATCCAGAAATAACTCAACGTTTGGGTTACTGTGTATCATTTCTGAAAATTTAAACATCAATTCATGGTCAAGTGTAAGAATCTAAAGAAAGTGCTTTTCTCAAAGGACCTGTGAGTGCTCAGTAAATTTTCCTAGTATGATGCAGGCCTTCCACGGTCTCCCCAAGAATAGCAGGCGCACAAATGCATCACTCAGGGCCCACTAACAGCCGAAATCTGGAGAATGTTCGGGTAATGATGTTTTGTGGTGGCTGCCCTGGTTTTGCCTCCCTACTGCAGAGATAAAAGGACCGTTCCATTCTCATTCTGGAAGTTGAGAAACTAAACCCAGATAGCCAAGTCTTGTGACACAATTTGTTGTCTTTACAGACAAAAAGACAAAGTAAGACATCTCAAAACTACGTTTTTATTTCCAACTCTGACAGCCAGCTCCCCAGCGGATTGTAACAACAGTGAGCCTCTCCGCTCCTCTGAAGTGCTGCCTCATTAATACTGCAGCCCGTGTTTGAAATCCACCTGCTATGTTTTGGGCTCTTAAACTGTGCCAGGGCGGTGTGCATGCAGGGCACTGAAACATTTACTTCAGGCATTTGTTGCAGGAAACCTGTGAGGATGGGGTAGTACTTTGCTACTGTTTGCAGATAAAGAAAGGGAGGCTCAGCGGAAGTAAGTAGATGTGTCCTGAGTCACACAGCTAAGCAAGTGGTGTTACTGGATCCAAACTTAGTCTGCTTAGTGTGATTCGAGACGGTCACAGCAAACCGCCCGGGTGGTCAGTGTATTGGTTACCACCAGGTACTCCCTGTTTGTTTGTTTTTTAAAGTCAGTTTCCCCAAGGAAATTCACTACATTAAACTTCAGCCCCTGAGTCCATGTCTTTTCAATATTCTGGGTGATGAAACGGGGAGACTGTGTCAAGTTCTTTTGTGGCATTTTCAAGTATGATGGTGTCTCAAGGAAAAGTGCTTATGAGATTGAGTTATAAGCTTAAAACTAGCTTCTTTTTTCATGAAGCACCTTTGTTTTTGGTTGGTGAGGAAGATTGGCTCTGAGCTAACATCTGTGCCAAACTTCCCCTATTTTTTATGTGGAATGCTGCCACAGCAATGGCCTGATGAGTGGTGTAGGTCTGCCCCCGGGATCCACACCCATGAAACCCGGGCTGCCAAAGCAGAGTGCATGAATGTAAACTTTGTACCACCAGTTTTTTTTTTTTTTTTGCTCCCCCTTTTTTTTTAAAAACAAGGAAAACTGAAAAATTGTGGTTATTCAGATTTGAGTATTTGAAGATAAATGAAATGAGATTTGAAAATGAACAAAACAAGCCTATCACTTCAAGGACAACAACTGACAGTATTTGCTACTGGTGATAAAATTGAAGCTTACAAGCAATTTCGGAAAACTGTCTAGTGAGCATCAGTGGTGATATTAATGAATTCAATTTTTTGATACTGTATAATTTGTCAACATTTGGAAGACTTACATAATCAATGAACCAATATTTTCCAAATGATCAATGCATATTGATATTACAAAATTGCATATTGATATTATAAAAATATTACAAAATCATGAATAGATGAAAGATCTACTCAAAGTCAAAAATAAAGACTTTTATTCTAATAGTACAAAAAATTCATTGATATGGTTTCAGAGTCTACATTGTGACTAACCTTCAATAAATAGCCACTTGTCGAATTTTAGTATAATATCAAGAAAGAATATAAAATTATCTGAAAAGACTATTAAAATAATGTTCTGTTTTCCAACTAAATATCTATGTGAGGCTGAATTTTTTTCATATGTCAACCAACACAACACACAGCAACAGAGTGACTGCAGAAGCCAATGTGAGAATCAACCTTATTTTATACAGCCAGTCATTAGAGACTTGCAAAAAAATAAAACTGTGCCATTCTTCCCAGTAAATGTTTTTGTTTTGTGAAAATATAGATATTTTTCATAAATGTTATTTGTGTTAGCCTGTGGAGGATTTATTATTTTTTCGTGTGTTAATAAATATTTTTAAATTTCTCAGTTTTAAATTCCACTAAAATAAATATCGATAAATTCACTCCATACAAACAAAAGCTCTTTGAAGCTCTTAATAATTTTTAAGAGTGTAAAGGGTTCTGAGACCAAAAGATCTGAGAACTGTTATGTATGTATTTTTTTAATAATAAGTATTTTTTGAGATGCCATCAATAGATATTCAAGTTGTTTGCAGTATTTGCTGGTACAAGTAAAGATGCAATAAACAGCCTTATTTATATACCCTTACATGCTGACCCTGTTGTTTCAGAGAGATAGCTTATTAAGTTGCTGGGGAAAAGGGCATGTGTATTTTTTTGGTATATTTGTATTAGTTATTATTTATTTGTTATATACTTATTAGTTATTATAAATGTATCTATATAATGTATATACATAGAGAAAAAAGAAAATGGGGCATAGTCTCTTCACTTAAATAAATCCTTTAGCCACTTTTTTGGGGGAAAAAAGGATAATATATGTATATGGTTAGGAAACGTAAACAGTTCAGAGAAGTGTAAAATGAAAGTTTCACTCTCTCTTATTTGGTTTTAAAGTAATAGCACCACCCTTATTAAGAGTTTCTAGTAATTTCTTCTAGAAACAAAATCATGTTTATACTGAGTTTATGTAGAATATCTACAAATACAGTTAGAAGGCTTGCTCTGTATCTCTGTGTCCATCTAGTATCTGTCATCTATCTACCTGTGTATCTCTCTATATTTCAGCTGTCCACCACCACTTCTCCCCTTTCTCTCGGGCATGCAGCTAGACTGTATCTCTCAGTCTCCTTTGCAGTTACATGTGATCATGTGACTGACCTCTAGACAATTAAATGTGAGTGGTAGTGATATGCACCACTTCCAAGACTAGTCCTTAAAATCTCATACCTCTCCCTCAACTTAGCAAGCAATAACCTTTGAGTTGTTTTATGTTTGACTCTATTTTTTTACAGTAGTTAACCTACTCTATTATAATATCTACTGAATCTATCATCTTATTTTATGCAAAAAGGGGCATACATTCTGTCCTACATCCCATCATTGTTGTTTTATTTAATATACTGTATTTAAAGTATTTACCAATATTTAAACTATTTGTTAATATAAAAATTTAATATATTTCAATGACACCTCAGTATATGTATTTTAAATTTAAACACATACAAAGAGATTACCATCTAAAAAGTCTGTATTAATTCAGATTCTCACTAGAAACTTATGAGTGCCTATTTCTCAATACCTTTACCTGTCCATGATGTTATTATACTTGCAAAACTTTGCAATTCTTGAATGAGTGACATCAACATCCTGGCAGAGTGAGCTCTTCCCTTAGACTCTCCCTTCTAAGATACAATGAAAAGGACATTCATAAACCAACAGAAGACATTCACACAACACAATAGATGTCTGAGAGATCCACACAGCCATATGTCTGAAAGTGGAAGTGCTGGACCCCCAGGAGGAAGTGGAAGGAGGTAAGGGGATCTCCTCTCCCTTTCTGGCAGCAACGTAGGGCACAGGACTCTTCACAGCTCTGAAAGGAGAGGGAGGAGGGGTGGCTCTCTGTGGGAACACCTTTGCTCTCTGAATTGCCTCCCAGGTGTTGGTAAGCTCCACACATAGGAGGCTAACCTATTGTGGGGGTGTCTTCATCAAGCCAGCACCCCAGGAAGGTAGATACCCAGGGCAGAGTGAGGACATCCCTTGTATCATGCAGGCGAAAGAAAGCACCCCTCCCCCTGCCTGGAGCACCACCCTTGCCAGTCAGCCAGAGCAAGGGACTCCCACCAGAGTGCTTGCACATATGTTAGCAAAGCAGCAGCTGTGAGTAGGCAATCACAGATAGGCCCTGTCAGCAAAGATTCCAGAGAACAGGCACAGGTGCCAGAGATCACAGTGGGCTTAGAATACACAAGTCCTGCCCCACACACCCCAGTGGTGGCAGGTGGAATCTGTGACAAAATGCTACCAATATGCAAAGGCACAAATCCACCCCATCAAATAACATGAGGAGGTATATTAATTCCCCAGAACAGAAGGAAAATGACAAGCACCCAAAAATCAATGTTGTAGGCATGGAAATTTACAATCTAAATGACAGAGAATTCAAAATAGCTATGATCAAAAAAAACTCAATGAGTTACAAGAAAATTTAGAAAAACAGTTCAATGAAATCAGGAATAAAATTAATGAACAGAGGGAATTCTTCACAAAAGAGACTGAAACTATGAAGAAAAACCAATCAGAAATGTTGGATATGAAAAACACGATGAATGAGATAAAGAAAAATCTGGAGTCCTTGAATATCAGAGCAGATATTGTGGAGGACAGGATTAGCAATTTGGAGGACAGAAATATAGAAATGCTTCAGATGGAGGAGGAGAGAGAATTAAGACTAAAAAGAAATGAAGAAATTCTCTGAGAAATATCCAACTCAATTAGAAAATGCAACATAAGGATTATAGGTATTCCAGAGGGAGAAGAGAGAGAGGAAGGAGAAGAAAGCTTGTTCAAAGAAATAATAATTGAGAACTTCCCAAACCTGGGGAAGGAGCTGGAATTACAAGTAAAAGAAGCTAATTGATCTCCTAATTACATCAATGTAAAAAGACCTTCTCCAAGGGATTTAGTAGTAAAACTGGCAAAAGTCAACGACAGAGAAAAAATATTAAGGGCAACAAGGCAGAAGAAAATAACCTACCAAGGAACCCCTATCAGGCTTTCAGTGGATTTCTCAGCAGAAAACTTACAGGCTATGTGAGAGTGGAATTATACATTTGAAATTCTGAAAGACAAAAACTGTCAGCCAACAATACTCTATCTAGTGAAAATATGCTTC